TACGTACCTTAATTCCAATAAAGATGTTCGTTACTGAGAAATGAGGAAGAAGAGACTGGTTAATGGCATTTTTTTTTTTCTCTATTGCCACAACCTTACTAGTTTTTTGTCTATAAAATAACTAATTGACCTTCCCAATTCTATATTCCACATAATTTTCTTATATATGATTTGAAAAATCAAAACCAGCAGCATATGGGTCCAAAACTTAATCTAACTTGGCCATTGTATATAAGATGGTGAGCTCATTACTTGATTCTTGCTTTCTGTTTGTGGTCATTGCAAAGCATAGACCGTCACATCCATCAGCACTATATCTACTTAGTTTGGGTTTTGACGTGCAATAGAGTTCTAACCTGGCCAGTGGAACTTAGGCTGGTTTAATTGGACCATCCAATCACCTTTTTCTAACTTGGCCTATATAAACTTCTCTTACTCAAAACCAGCAGCATATAGGGTCCAAAGCATGTCATACTTTTTTCCTGTCTTTTTGTTTGTATTCTAGTCCCTGTATTTGTTGTGTTATTTTATTTTATAGCATGGTTTTGCTAATTTTTATTCATATCCTTATTTTATGTAGTAGGGACTAATGTAAAAAATAAAATGTTCCTTTTATTTTTGCTCCTTGTAAGTCAGTTTGGTCCTCAGTTTTTTTTTTTATTTCCTTTTGATAACTTGACTTGAATTACCTCAATTTTGTCCTTATTTTACATACGAAAAGGAAATTCACAAGAAACAAAATGTTGTGCAGAAAGTTTGTCCATTTAGATCAGTTTAGTCCCTATTTTGTTAGATGGGTTTTTTTTATATTTACAACAAGATAGTTTTTATTTATTTAGCATGAATAAATATTATAATCTCACCATTTGAATGCATTGCCATATATATGATTTACATGTGCCAAACTTTGCATACCTAAATTACCTTTTAGATAATATATATACATATATATTTACAGTTCATATCCTTTTATTGTTTAAATGTGTAATTTTATGTGAGAAGCTTATTTGTATGAGATAGTAGGTCAATGAGTCTCATATTTTTAGGATCCAAGGTGTCCTAATGTGATTCCACAATTGTTTCTAAGATTAGCATGTAATATCAATTAGTTTTATTTGAGTCCATAGAATCATGTTTGTTATTTGCATCTTTTGCATTTAGTCTCCTATTTATTTAGCATGAATAAATGTCTTAACTTGTCATATGTTATTCGTTTGAAATCCGCACTAGAATTTTAACCGAATTTGATATTAAATTGACAAAACTCCTAATTTTAGGACCGGATGATAATTTAATGAGATTCTATAATAAATTTTAATTAATTTAACATGTTAAAAATTACATCTTAAATAATAGAAAGAATTAATTTTCTCAGGTTGATTTTTAACTCTTTTAATCCGGATGTCCTATATGTTGGGCAGCAATTCCATAATACATTCTTGGATGGTTTTCAAACTCTAAAGTAATTGCTTCTTCCAAGTCAAGACACCTTAAAACAATATTATGGAATATAATCATACCTGCATTGTGTCTTGATTGGATTAAATAATTGACCAAAATCGATTGAAGTTATCCAATACATTTATTGAAATCTGACCGTATCTTGATTCCAAACTATTTCAAAAAGCAGATTGTAGAGCGACTTTGTTAAAGATATCACCTATAATTTTTTCTAAACATACGAACTCTAAAGAAAAAAATGCCAAAAAAAAAAAAAAAAAAAAATTAATGAACTATAAGAACTAGGTGGTCACTTTACACCTAGTAAAATCGTAGGGATGAAGTTGTGATCACAACAAGTTAAACCGTAAAAAAAAAAAAACAAATAGATTATCACAATTAGAAGGAAAGATAAATAAATTGAATAAGATGAAAAATATACAAGTAAAAATAAAGAAGACAGATAATATTCAAAGATGAAAATTTTCTAAGAATAAAAGACAGAGCTCCTAACAAGAGGAGAGGAAATTCTCTCTTTTTCGAGAGAGAGAAAATGGTGTGTTTATATATATATATATATATCCAAACAGATGAAATTATAGGAATTGTGGAAGAAACTTAACATATACATTTCAATTTTAGAAGTAAAAAATAGGCAACTTTTAATCAATCTATGCATGTTTTTAAAACTCAATGTAGTATCTCTAATGTTATTTAACATTTTTTTGGTTACATTTAATTTAATTTCAATTTTGTTTTATTATCCTTTTTCTTTACAATATTAATTCATTTTCTCATTTTTCCAATGTCGACCATCCGTCACTTTTCTAACATCTCACAAAGAGCACCGCATTAAAATAAAAAAACAAATTAAAAAGTTAAGAGGTAATCGAGTAGATAACTTTGAAATCGAGGTATTCAAAAATACGTTTAATTAAAAAATTGGAGCCTGAAGAATTCCTACTAGCAGACTTCCCTGTACTCAAAATGAATTGTCTTGGTGCTCTTCCGAAGCTTTTTTCTCATGAGCGAATTCTCTCCTACTTCTCCATCGTCCTTGGTCCTAAAGTCAACGCTGCTAGACTCTACACAAACCTAATTCCAAAGTATTTTCCAACGCTTGCTTTTTCAAACTTCTCTACTGCTACTGACATACCTTCCAATCTACACTACCATTTTTCTTAAGATATTGCTAGTTAGAGAGAGAGAGAGAGAGAAATGGCCAAAAAAAAAACAACAAAACAAAGCAAAGGTGCCAAATTTGCAGTTCTCTCAATTTCGGAATAACAATCATTTAAAACCTCGACACATAACCACTACGAACAGCGAACAGCTGCTGCTGAATTAACCTAAGAGGCAGTGCCCTGTTTGCATCTACATTTGGGCTGTTTTACGGTGGGGTAGATTTATCCGAAGACTTAATTTGTACACTTCTGGTCATACTTGTACCCTGAACCTGAACATCTAGATCCTCCATGAAATAGTTTACAAGGGAGAAATAAGGCTATAAACAAGAACCAAATGCATTAAATTTAAACTACATCAAATGCTACTCTTTCCAAATCACTTGAAATTCAAAAGCGATGATGTCCAAATAAGAAACCATCTTGTCAATAGGGTGATGCCCAATTTTCTTCAATTACCCACTTGTAATCAGCACAAATGGATGATGACATTCAAACCCCACCTCCTCCAGAAGAAGACTAGGGCCAGTCAAGCTTATAATTCCTTCTATGGCTCATCTAACTGGTCCTGCTAGTAAAAACTATTATCCAGAGTTTGATATTTGATCAATCAGGTTCTGTAGAAATATAGAGAAACCATAACTAATTCTGGCAGAAATATAATTGACAACAATTAAGCTCCAAGAGAGAGAGAGAGAGAGAGAGACATCAACCTGGACATCTGAAGTTCAAACAGTGAGGTTATCCCTTAGGAGTTGCATGATTAGAGTGTGTACCTGTACATGATTCTTCTACCAAAGTGTACATCTAGTTTGGCAATGGCTTTCTCAAATGCCCGCAGAAAAACATAGTAAGACAAATTAAATGGATTTCTAACATATATTCCTGGATACTAGGACTATATAACCTTCAAGCAACTCTGGCTGGCATATAGCAATAGGAAGAGAAGGACCTTGGTCATCTCCAAAAGAAAACAGCGGAGAAAGGGTGTACAGCTGAAACCACACATTGATACAGGCATTGATGGTGAAGAAATAATAGGAACACTAAGTAACTTATTTGAGTTTCAGTTAAGCTTTGTGTGTCTGTGTGTGCATGAGCAAGGACAAATATTGCAGCAAACCACATCATAACGCCTGGGCAGTTCAAACTACTTCAAAAAGTTCACTATAGTCTTAAACCTATATGTTTATCCATGCATCAATGAAGACTCTAATACAATCTATTAGATCCTAAGAGGAGCATTTGCCCATTCAGAACTTCCAGTTCAGTTTTTTTGCACAGTAACAAATGCAGCGATGAGAAACAAACATCATGAAGACATCCCTTACAGTAACTTATTCTACTATCAACTAAATTTGGCTTTACCGACTGTCAGTCATTTCCTAAATCTGTTAATTAGTTCAACATAAGAACAACCAGTGATGGATAATAGGTTTACCTTGGTGATGTAGGGTGCATTTATAGGGCTGTGAAAAATGGCACCTTAGCATTGCATTCCATGTATGAATACATCTGCAAAGAAAATTCAAGCCAGAAATCTGATTGTTGCAACATTCCCTGCAAATATCATGGTCATCCATTCTAAAAGGGCTGGGGGGAAGGCAATTCAACAATTATTAATTAGGGTCAAGCCTTGGTGCAATGGTAAAAGCGTCAACCTGTTGGGTTTCGGCACAATTTTATATCTCTGTAATCAGATTAAATCTCCAGAAAATGAATTCTAATTAAAGAACAAAGCAAAGATGGGTGAGGAAAATTCTTACCATGAGCTGATCTTATAGATTACATTTAACAGGAACCAGTTAATGAATCAAAAGCCAAATATTTCAAAGAGAAGACAGAAAATTTATCTTATGTGGATCTTTCTTGTCTTGTCAGGGACTGCCCCTCAAAGATGTTACTGCCTCTAATAAAGTCAGTTTTAACATAACTTTAACCGTAACAATATCTGTAAAGAATCAGAAACAAAGAAGACAGGAAGAGATCTCTAAGAATGTCTGCAAGATATAAATCACCGAACAAAAAGCTGATTTTATTAGAAATATAAAATGTATGTACATGAGGCATTGTTCTCTGATTTGTAAAAGCTACAGCCACGATAGTGTTTTGCTAACAAGTAAATGCTAGGACAAATTGACTTGCACCTTGAACGAAAGATCTTTACAGTCAAAGTTACCAACTTAATACAGGAAAAAAGTCCAACGCTTCCAAAAGGTTCACTTGAAAATCTTGTGAAGTCTACAAAAGAATCTATATAACCTAATTGTGGACCGGTGGCCGAATGACCATCCATATAACTGGTCATTTTTTGACAACAGTGATTATGTGTTGTTTGTTAATAGTATAATGAACAAGACTATACAGAGAAAGACTTCAAACCATCATATTTAGATCTGCAAGGTCATCCATTGGAATTTCAAGACCCATGAAGTCAATGTCACCATGCTCTTGTAATCCATCATCATCAATATTCAGCCATGAACCCAGATCCTGTCCTTGGCTGTCATCTAATACATCTATTCCTGGCAGCTGCAGGTTAGACAAATCAATAGTATCATCCAACGCATCCATGCCAAACCCAGACTTATTCTTTGTTTTGGTATTACTTTTTTCACTTGATTTTGCATCAGAAGGCAAATTTGTTTTAGGTTGCTCTGACATCTTGCCAACAAGGCCATTCACAGAAACAGAGAGTTGAGTTTTTTGCTTGGGCTTTGTTTTAGTTTTTCGTTCCCCCTTTGCGTTAGATAATGTTGGTCGACCGATTTTATTAGTTCCATTTCTATATAAAACCTCTCTGCTGTGCCCCTTTCCTTCCCTGTCTCTCTCACTCCTCTTCCCTTTTGTACTGCTCGACAGAGAACCTCCTATTCCTGATGGAGCACTTGATGGACTACCAACAGTACCACCAACAACATCATCAAGCAACAATTCCCTCTTCTTCACCCTGTTTGACCACATATCTTCCTTACCAGTTTCAGATAAGCGATTAACAGGTGGAAGCAGATCAGAAGGATTTGGGATGAAAATATCCCCATTCTGAACCAAGTGTAAAGTTCGAGGACTTGGCTGTGAACCCATGGAAGCTGCAGAAAAGACAAAATAACAATCCAGAATTGTGCCATGGGACTGGAAAACTAAAATACTAAAAGTAAAATCACACATCACAGACCACAAGAACCCAGAAAAAAAAAAAAAACGGATTTAAAGAAATTAAACACATCTACATACGTATGAATTCCAAAAGCAAATTCTGAGACATCAGAAAAAAATACCTGAAACTCTGGGATCCAAAGAGCGGGTTGAGGTATTGCCATACAACTTTGCAGATTCACCATCGGTAGGAGTATCCACTAATTGTGCACCACTTAGGTGGGCAATCCCAGAAAGGAACATATCCCTAAATGAGGGCTCACTGAAGCAGCTGTTTCCTGTAACTTCAAATTTATGACATCGTTCTAGTGTCCGTTTAACAAATGCCAAGGCAGCTTGTTTGGCCATTTTGTTACTGGAACTCTTCCCACCAGCAGCATTTGGACCCCAACACGTCTATCAAATAATGCTGTGTTAGCTAGTCATCAAATGTATGTCCAGAAGTTCTTAAAAAATAACAACCTAGCGGCTGCCAGTATGATAAACAGCAAATGAAACAAGCACCAAAAAGAAAAAATCAGTTAAATGAAACAATGGGTTCGCCTTTTCCCATGGAACTACCTAAAACCAATTGAGAATTGTTTATAAAGTAACAAATGGATGGACTCCAGAATGAAAATTGCAGGTACGCACACAATGATAAAACGCACCCCACAGTGAAGTGCACAAAGAAGGCCAGGGAAGGAGATAAGAGATCGCTGAAGTAGCTAACTAGCAAACCAGAAAAGTATCAGTTATCAAACAAGAATTTTATGATTAAAATCATGTCCGGGAAACTACATATTTCAGTTGTTGAATTTCTGGCCATGTACCCTGATGACATCAGTAGCGACATTTACATCATTCACACCTTCAGAATTCAGAGCAATACTGACATGCTGCATTTCTCCTAATTCTATCCTCCTACTTGGATCACGAGAAAAGTTGGCAAAAGGCCATTCATTTCATGTTCTGACTCCACCTACATTGTCTCTCTATTAAACAACCTTTCACAGTATCTCATCAATCTTCCTGGAACAGGCAAATCATATTGAAACAATTTGGACAGGCCCTTATCTAATTCTATCCTCTGACTTGGATCAGGAAACAATTTTGGTAAAAAGAATTCATCCCATGCTTCAAGCACTCCATATTGTCTCTCTACTGAACAACCACTCACTGGATTTCGTCAAATCTCTCTGGTACAGGCATGCTATATGAGTGGACTCAAGAGAACTTAACACCATGTAGATTACTCTTATTTACACAGTGACAGTCTGAGGATGAAAAAAGAGCAGTATTGAAGCCAACTAACATGCCCAATGATGATCAAGAAAAAGTAGTTGCTGAAGAAGTAGCATGATTAGATTATGTTGGTTGCATTTGGAATTCTAGGAACTTTTTGATGATTCACAAGGATTTTGCCTCAGGCCAAAATAAGTTTCTATTTAACAAACTGTCCTAAATTAATTTTTGCTCAGGTTTTCACCTAACATGCAGTGTTCTACCTCTTGCTCAGGTTGCCTCTTCAGATTCAGTCTAATGGATTATGGTTTCTTCACACAAAAACCATTTTTTAACCCATCCAGTTTGGTGAGTGATGAAAATTGAAAAGCATCCGCATCCGCAATAGATGGATGTGGACAGTGATTAAAAGGGCCAACCCATTTTGTTAGGGGCAATAAAGACCTTTGACCAAAGCAGAGGGCCGACATCATGCACAAATTTTTTTTAAAAAAAAAGGGTATATTTTTGGTCAGGTAGGTACCAAGACCACAGATCTATTGACATGTTCATTTATGAGTAGCAATCACTCACAGTACTCTGTAATTATAAATTCATAAGCTAACCAACTAACAAAATAGTTCATCAGTGTGAAAAGAAGTTGCTGCAACCTACAAGTGTGACAATTAATTGCAGCAAATTTCCAAATAAGCTACCCAAAAATAACACATAAATAATGCAATATAAGTCACCAGAAAATAAAACGTATGCCTCTCATTTCCTCTATTACTTCTATTGATCCATTACAGCCCATTCTAGCTCATTTTAGCCAAAGCATTTTCGCGGTACAACCATGAACTAGTTGAAAAAGTTTTATTCCTAGTTTTAAGAGGTCAGTTCAGAAATATTTAGCATTATAGCTCTTTCTTTGGTTGCACAGTCTCATTAGACATGTATTCAAAAGAAATGTGAAAGCATGAAGTATGGGAAAGGAAAAATAAACAGTTAGAAAATTACCATGTACTTTTCATAGGCCATTGTGACTAGTTTGTCATGAGCACGTAGTTCAAATTCCCTATATGATTGTGCAATATCATGAGTACATAGTAAGAGTTTAAGTGAAAAGACAAAAGCACATGGATTTTTCTCAAGAATTTTTTCTTTACTTTTCTTGAAGTTCTTTCATTTCCAAGGCATGTTTCAACAGCTTGTCTAATAAACCTTTCTTCTTCAAAACCTGTCAGAATAACAGACAAAACCATGAGATGACCTCCTTAAAAGAATGAACTCATTGCAGGATATACAGTTCAACAGTAAATATGTTACAGTGCAAGCAAAAAATTCATATTTCTACTTCCCACTTGAAATGAGGAGTTAACAGATTTAAAATTCTATAGAACCTTGAACAACAATCATAAAACATCAAAAAGGTAGGAAAAAGTGGAAAACAAAAGAAACATAAATCTTGCTTCATTTAATATTAAAGATGTACATAAATATATATACAGAGAGAGAGAGAGAGAGGAAATTTGCTATGAAAGCTTTTACAGTAAATCAGAAGTACCTGCCCATGGCGATTCTCCTGTAATTTGCTGATGTACCCACAGATTCCTTCATCATCCATCTGCATGTCAGGCTGAATAAGAAAGATTATGTAATAAACGGCATACATTAACAGATCCTAGTGCTGTTGCAATAACATTACATAAGACATTCAAAGGCAACTGCAGAAATCATACTGCCAAAATCCCCTCGTGCTCCCACCTCCCCACAACTGAGAGAAAAGGAACTTTAAAAAGGGGGCAGAAAAAAGAAGAAGAAAGGAAACGGAAAACAAGCTCCAAAAAAATATGTTTCAGATTAATCCTGACTTTAGAATCAAACATTTTAAGCCATATATGCTGCGATAATTAGAGGAAACAACATGTTACCCAGCCTCATGATCCAAACACAAATCAAATGCAGGGAAAAAAAATGATGAAACAGTGAAAAGGATAGTGTTAATTTGGAAGTAAACTTACCATTGGTTCTGGAAAAATTCCCAGACTATGAACTTCCAGACGGAGTTTTTCTTCTATCTTCATATTATCATATTGAAATTCGGAACAGGCCATTCCAGGTACCAATGCATGGTCTGAAAGTACACCATTCACAGCATGTCTGAAGTTTGAATCGCTACCCATGTTTGGGATGTCCGATATATCAATATCTGTCTCATTGTGGTCTGGCTTCCCAGTCAACTTGTAACCATTAAATGCAGTATGTCCAGAAAACAGAAAATTTTCTAGGTGATTCACACAATTTGATCCCAACTCCCCATCAAGCTCAAAACCAGCTCCATATGCATCAAATTCCAGGTCTCCATTTCCACGGGTACAATCTTCCTCTGAAATTATGGCTGCCAATAGTATCTGAGAAAGGGGAACTTCTCTCTCTCCAGGCATTAACTGATCCGAAAGAAGTTCTGAAGTCCTAGTTTCAGCAGCAAGCTCAACCTCCCGCTCATGTTCAAATAACCCATGCCCATTAGGGACAGTACTACAGTTGTTTGCATGAGAATGGACTTGTGTTGCCGATGGTGCAGTAGATACAATACTTCCCTGAAAAAAAGAATCACATGGTTAAGGAAATTAACTTAACTCGTAGTTTTGACAAGATTTTATTTGACAAGAAAAAAAAAAAAGCCATCATGGGTATAAAATAATATAGGAAAATATTTCACCAGAATATTCAATAATCAATAATTATAACTTTAGAGTATTAGAAATTTTAGAAGGCATGAGTGCTCCTTGTAACATTAAATATAGAGCACGGATGCTCCATGGTGATATTACAGATAAGAGGAACCCTAAATTTAAGACATTGTCTAGCAGGCAGGATCCAAGGCCAGCAGCAGTACAATACTTGTCATTTAAAACAATATGTAAACATATAACTGTAAATATTTTCTGAAAGAAATCAACTACATTGACGAGCTTTCACATGAAGTTTGGATGCACAGCAACAATAACCTGTCAGAAATGCCACGCTAAATGACAAGGTAGGTGGGGGGCTAGGAATTTTGTATTTGGGCGTGGCCAAATATATGGAGGTTACAAAGCCAAACACCTAGCACGTACATATCTATCAATCTTCCAAATTGTTTGCTAGGATATACAAGCAAATTTATTTACTCCTAATCTCAATCAACATGAATGAGACCGTCACAAAAGAATACAGAAGTTTATTGAAGAGAGATTCAAGAGTCAAAACTCCATACATGGTACTGCTATAAGTGGAGAAGTATTTGTGAATGACTGAAAATGGTTCAAATACAAAGGTACAAGTCATTTGTTATTGGGTTGAAACAAGAACTTATATCAATGTGTAATTTTGTCATTGGGCTTGTCATCTCCCTTAATGAAGAATTCTTCTTTTCTATCTACATGCTGCTGCTGATGAACCTATTGAATGAATCTTGCTGATAACAAAAATATAATCTATCTAACAGGGCAACCTCGAAATGATGAAAAGTAGAAAGGGAAGCAAAAGTACTCTACCATTAGCAACAATGGTTTAAACATTTTTGCAACATGAACAAAGTGTGTCCTGTTGCTACAAGTTCAAAAAGTATCAACGAGTAATACTGCTGAATTTGGACACAACCACTGAAATTTTGACAAATTTAGAAGTCTATTAAACATGTCATTAGTTAAGGGCCTGCAAATTCCCTAAAACAATTTTGGTTATACAAGGAAAAGAGTATAGTTAGTATAGGTCGTCCCTCTCTCTCTCTCTCTCTCTCTCACACACACACACACATCCTCAAATTAAGTGAAGGTCTAACAGGACTCATCCTTAGCTGCATGCTTAAGGTTGCACATTAAGATGATTACTATTAATTCATAGAATGATCTTGGTTATGTGGATACTGCTAGGTGGAGTTACAGAAATTTTACTACATCCTACATAAACTAAATTGAAAAACAAAAGGCTTTACCAGTTGTTTTAAGTGAGCAACATCTACATCAGATATAAAACCAAAGACTGGTTCCATTTGCCTCCAAAATGAGCTGGAAAAGGCTTGGTCTGCAGTGACAATCAAATCAATTAACCAATAAGGACAGATTCAAGCAATAAAACAGAACAAATTTTCAGCGAAGTACCGGGATTAATAGCAGCACTTGCAGCAGCCAACAGCTCTTCGTGCCCATCATCTGAACCAACTAAAAAATTAAAACCAAACTAAATAGATGGAAAGAAAACATTTAGGGAATCAGAAAATTTTGAGACTTTGAAGAAAACTACCAAGAAAATCTGCTGTTGCATTGATGGTTGTATGCTTTTGGCGTGTATAAGCCTTACGATCAGAGAGTTTTCTGGTTGGGGGACGGCCTGTCTTGCTGCACAAAAATATTTCTTGAAGATATGAGTTTCAATCTGATGTGCAGCAATGCTAGACAAAATGAAGAAGTTCCATGGATAACTAGAAAAATTGATGAAGAATGTTTGACCTTTCATGTTTATCAAAACCAAGTCTGGCACTTCTAAGCTGTTTTGCTGTTCCAACGTTGCCAAGCTTCTCAATGGCCATTGGCATAAGAGACCTTGTTGAAGTAAAACCCCTCCCAGTCCTCCCTTGCCTGCGAACGCCATCTCCAAGATCTTCACCTGGAACCGGCTTGTTCTTTCTTGATGGAAGGCCCAGAGGTGATATCTTTTGAGCATTCTGTCCAGCTTTCTCATCCATCTCATCAGACTTTCTGCTCTTATCTTTAGATTTAACCTCTGTAGCCCCTGATTCTTCACTTTCTGATAACACGGCTGAGGATAAGGTGTCACCTTTTAATTTAACTTGCTGAGGAGAATTGCCACTCAAGCGCCTGGCAAATCCCACCCCGATATCATTACCTGAAACATCAGATACACTATCCAAAGTAGGACTTTCATCGTTGTTAACAATGGGAACCAAATTTGTTCTTCTAGCAGTTCGAGAGATCTTCTGTGGCCTCTGACCGGCCCAGTGGGCAACAGGTGGAGATGAAGACCGAGCAGATGCTGTGCGTTTGCGATTGTTAGCTCCAACAGCAGGTGGCTTGTTTGTACAATGAGAGAGCTCCCAATCATTGGGAGCAGTTGCTCTATGGACAACTGGGGACAACTTGGGTGTAATGCCTGAACCTGATCGGGGAGCCCGAATAGACGGATTCATTTTTCCACTTGAAGTGGGACTAGCAGAATTAAAATCATCCCGAACACTTGCCCTGAGCATTGTAGAGAAACAAAGGAAAATGAATCCATGCACAGTCTGATCAAATTAACGGTCCAAAAGAAGGACTTGATAAAGAAAAAGAAAGTTCCATATAAAATATTTGAGAAGAAAACAATTGAAAGAATAAGAAATCTTCTATTTATCGAAGAGAAAATTCCAATATGATACTGATAGAAATAAAGCAAAATGAATGCCCATAATACTAATAACACAGCAATGGAATATGAATAACAACAAAAGGTAAATGAATGAATGAGTTAAGGATGTAGTGCATACTTATTAACAGATCTGATATTCACCCTTTCCTTATCAGAACCAAGAGGGCGTTCTCTCCTATCATTTAGAAGAGAACCGTTCTCCAGGTCAGCCCTATGGGTCATCGATCGCACACTCAAGCCTGTCGGTTGTGAGATACCATCTGTTTTTCCAACTCCAACAGCACCATTAGAAACTCCAGGCCTATAGTGAAATACAAGTTAACCTTGCCTCACAATCTAGAGATTACAAAATCTAAAGCAATCACCAAAAGCATATCCAAACAAATCTTCCTTTAAAGTTCAATTAAGCAGACAAAATAAATAAATAAATAAATGAAAACAGATAATTCTAAGAATAATTTAGCATAACTGCAGTTACTTTTAATTATTGTTCAGTGAAAGCCATTTTGACCATCCTATGAGGCCAAAATCTTTTCACTGTACCCAAAACTATTGACAAGTTTCAATCTTATCAAAGAGTTGAAAGAACTTCACAAATCTTTACAGCTAGTCAAGCACATCACCTACTAACCACATAATCGTTATAGCAGTCCTCAACAACTACTTCCACAACTGAAACAAAAGGTAAATTATATTATTGCAAAAAAAATCTTGATGTAAAGTTTGATTAACCAGTATATATCATCTCAACAAAATATGTCATTTTTATCTCCATAAATAGGAACTCAAGGCAGTATCTGTGTCTCAGGCAGTAGGTGTAACCAAATATGCTTTGAATTTTATTGCTGTTAACTGAGCTGTTTTTCTTCGCTATTTCCTTGAAAGTAGCCCATATAAGAAAAATACAGCACAGGACAGCATCATAAATAGAAGAGACATTCACTGAATTTAAAAGAAACAACTACATTTTACCATATAGGTGTGTCATTTTTCTCCTCGGTTTTTTCATTTTTTAATTAATACAACTTTGGTAGGTACAGAATTGATAGCTTTCAAAATTTCATCTCAAATTAGTATGCATTTTCTTATAATGAATTTCCAGAGGAAAAAAAAACACGAGTAGCATAGATGTATAAAATTGAAGTTGGCTCCCACAAAAGTCTAGACTGTAGAGTCTCACACAACCATATATGGAAAGACGATGATAATGAAAAGGAAAGAAACAACAGTAGCATAAAATAATGATGGTATTATAAAATCACGTGACAAACAATAGCAAACTGCATGATTGTTGTTACAAATCCTCGTATCGGAGCATAACAACCGCAAGGCTCAAAAACAGTAATCATGTGATTACAGCGGGCAGCATCAGGAACTACAATTATGGAAAAATGAAAACTAAATGAAATGGAAAAACATAGTGGTGTACGCTCACAAGTGCTATTGTAGTCATCACATGCAGGCAGAGAAATAGACCACTTTCAGAAGGCATACCTGAACCCATGGGAATCAATATTCAATCTTGAACGAGCGTCAGAAACAGGTCTTTGCAGCACTCCCTGTTTTGGTTCCCGGTAGCCATCTGCGGGTTTAGTTGATACCACACTTGAAGAAACATCTGGCTTTATCCCAGAACGCTTCTTCTTCATTTTTGTCTTTTCCCAACCATCAACACCAATTGATAAACTTCGATCCTCACCTTGAACACCACCACTATTTGCAAGCCTTAGCATTTCCCTATCTCTGTCAACAGCTCCAGATGGCCTGACCAGAGCATTACCCTGCACATCCATCTTTATTAGTCATAGCTTATAAGTAATCTCTCTCTTAAAGAAACTAAGACACAGGAATGTTCATGACATTTGGAAAACCTGAAAGGCACCACTGGAATTATGATTAGGCACTGTAAACCAAGCTGCTACAAGAAATAAAAGAAGGAAGTCTTATACTTAATAGAGCTGTGAATAACTGCTCGTATTTGAACCACATAGTACCATTGCTTCCTACTTTGAAGGGAATGAAGAAGAGGTTCAAATCCATTTGGCGCGGGGGGGGGGGGGGTGGGGGGTGGTGGGGGATTGGGTGGGTGTGGGCAGGCAAAATAGCAATTCACAGGCAACAAAACGGTATTTAAAGGAAATTAAAATACGAAAAAATGCGAGCAGTGCAAGCACAAGTAGTAGGAAACTACAGAAGGTGCATACCCGCACATCCACCAAAGAAGTTCGTGTGCGCTTGTTTGGAACAGCATTTTTGGTCCGTTCTTCTGACTTTTGTTGTTCAAGTTCAAAACCACTGGTGCCACAATGATTTTGGATTCCCATTTTACCCAGGCTTGGACCAAGGACCGACCGATCATTTGATACTGAAGCATTAGGCCGATCATTAGAATAACCTTCTGATCTAGACCTCTTCTTTGACGGTATGGTCGGGAAAAACTTGTTGAATACAGACAAGGCTTCATTGAAAATCTTCACACGGTCCCTGTTATTTAAAAGGAGTTATTTAAACAGTAAAAAGTATTATGTTAGATACGAAATATTCAAAGAACTACCTGCACTTGACAGAGCTTTCACGCAGACCAGCCTTCACTCGCTTGATTTCCTCAGGTGAGGGAGGCGACACCACTTTGCCTTTCGAAGAACCAGGAGAGTCATCTGATGAAATTCCAAGAGCAGCATTCATGTGTCGCTTAAAGTCCCCTTGGCGACTAGACTTATGGTCTGCGGCCACCACCTTTAGATCAAAACGCAAGCATTGGAAGAAGCTCACCAGGTCTCCCTGTGCTACTACAGCACTACTTCGAGTCATGTTCGGGAGAGAAGATAGGATTGGATTCTCCATGCTCTCACGAAAGCTACTCGATCTGTCCATTTGAGCAGCTAAGTGGGATCCACGCTGACCACTGGTGTATATCGGTCTATCTGGGCTATCAGATGACAGATCGAACTTACTAGACATTGCCATTGCATCAGATTCCCCACAGACTCTGTGTTATAAACCCAATAAATACAATAATGCATGACAAATCAGTAGTATTGTAGCACATAAAGGCAAATTGGTGAGTTCAAACGACAATAAAGGATGAAGCACCTGCAAAGGACACAAATCGAAGGATAAGAACTGAAACCAAGTTCATCTACAATATGACTTACAATGACAACTGTACTAGAAGTCCCAACATGAGCAGTAATAGTTTTAAATTGAGGAAAATTAGGAGAAAGAAACCAAGCTGAGATAATTAAGAGCATTGCACCATGCTGAGATTCATAACTCCACTAAATTACAAGCTCATCAATTTAGTAGATTTAGTATTTTCCAAGTTTGAAAGGCATATAGATGCAAGCATTATGAGATTGTTACTTCTTAAAGATCAATTTTTTGAAAGGAAAAGTTATACATAAAAAATAACTAACAGATGTGGCAAATGATGAATGGTGTTATATAAGTGATTTACTTGCCATATAAATGATTTATAAAATCATTGCATTAAATGGTATTATTTTATATTTTTAGTAAAATATTTCTTCTTAACCTCTTTTAATTGCAGAAAAATAACGACACAATTAGAAATTTGTGATAATGGCTTAATTTGTTCTTCCTTATATAAGAGGCAGAATTTAATCATTGATGCAATAATTCAGATTCTAATAGGTCCTTCTGGCAAACCTTTTCATCCAAACTAACAGATTTCCTGAGACTTGCACATGATCTCTAAATAATTTTTTTTAATGACAAACTTAAAATGGCCAATATAATCTGTGAATCTAACAGGACCACCAAAAAGAAATTAAACTAAAAGAAATGGAAAAAAAAAAAAAGTTGCCTTGGTCTTGAAAATTGTATTCGAATTCCAACTTGATAGTAATAGTAATATTTGGTATAGAATAGAACTAGAATAGCACTAGTATTAATTCTGCTTCTACTTGTACTTGACATAATACTAATAACAATAAATCCTTAAACTCCTGGCATTATTATTAAGAAACAAATGCTCCTAATCATATATCTTGAGATAGTGAAAATTTAAAGCACAGTACATACCTCCAAATCCTTAATGGTGAGCACAAGGATAATTGAAGCAGTTGTACTTTACATTAAGACAATCATCTGCACAATTTTTTAGTAAAACACTAATTTCAGCTCATGCCCTTCCCCCAGATCTCCTCTTTGTCTTATATGATCAGTAGACTCAACCGGATGAATTTTAATGAAGTTAGCTGCAACTGCAAATACAAATCCAGTTGACCGGATCTATCGACGGGCACCGATGAGGAAGGATCACCACCGAATATGATTGACCTGTCTGTCAGCTCGGAGGTTGTCCCTGTTGCTTTGTACACTCTTCAGCAAACAGTTCTTGCTATATATTATAACTCTGTCGCTGATTAGTGAGCATTTGCAAAGCTATGAATTATTACTATTATTATTATTAGTATTATAGGCATGAACCTGAGAATCGACACCCGTGTGCTTATGATGATGATGATGATCGATGAATGGACTGCTCTGAAGTGGGTTAAGTAAGAAAGATTGCTGTTTTGGGAAATTCCTTCTATTTGATCCAGAGATTTTGGAAAATTCGGGAAATCGGAGTCGAAGTAGGATGTTAGGGTTAGGGTTAGGGTTAGGAGATATAAATTCGGTGCGGAAGGAAAAGGTCGATTTTCAATTTCTTCGAGCTTCTTTTTTTCTTTGTTTTCTTTTTGGCCTTTTTTCTTGTTTTGGTTGATTTATTTTTTTATTTTCAGTTTCAATTAATCAAAATTGAATGATTTTCTGTCATGTGAGGAGCACATGATTGTATTAGCAATGCGGGAGTGAGATTAATTCCTCTCTGACCTTGACTTCAAAGGTTACTTAGAGACTGAAGTCTGTCATTACCTTCGGTTGGATACAAAAACTTCGACAAATTAACAGCAATCATCGTGTGTGTGTATATATATATAGAGGTTGTGCATTTTTCTTACAAATTATAAATGAAAATCCTTAAAAGAAACAGCAATTGATCAAAATATTATTTCCTGATTTGACGGTTAGAAATGTGTTTTTTAAATGATAATGCGTAACTTAAACCAAATTTTAATGAAACTAAATATTTATAAAATTGAGTGAAACACATTTTTCATAAATTCTTATATATGATCATAATTATTTGTGTAAATCTTTTTTTGTTCTTTTTTGCTATTTTAGTCTATCATTCTCAATCATCCTTTCCCAATCAATACTAATTGTAACCCTCTTTGTTTCCATACAATGCCTTATAAAAAAAAAAAAAGTCATTTCTCATCCATCAAATTCATGATAAGAAGAAGAATATGATTAATAGAAATAAATTGGAATTAAAACAACAAGGTACATTGTTACTATTTTTGTAAAAGTTCATTAATACTTGAAGAATCATATGCTTATTTAAGCATAAATCTAAAGAAGGTATAGAAAACAATACATGTAGTGAAACTTGTGTGTGGCTTTAGCCATACTTTTATGAGATTTAGAGTAACCTTGTTTTTGTTACTCTACTCTCATAATTATTATGTATAAATTCTAATTGTTCACTGCATACAATTAAAAGCCTTTTTTTCTCGTTGACCAAAAGCTTAAGTCTCTCTCTCATTGACCTTTATTTCCTATAGAGTTACAACATTAGCCTAATATTATCTCTTACCATATTTATTTTTAGAGAATCTAGTTTGATGCTCATAAAATTTTTATTAAAATAGTTGCCATTATTCAAACTTAGGGATTACCCGAAACATGATTAAAATTGAACTAGAGTTACATAAATTCCTTCTCTTCTTATATAATCCTAAAAAGGCCAATAAAGGAGTTGGAATAGGATAAATCACAAGGTTTATCGTGACAATAAAGTAACGTATTTTATAGTTTTTAGGAGAAAATTATCAATATATCCTCTTATATTATTCCATTTATCAATCATACCTTTCACCAAAAAAATCAATCAATAGTAGTATTTAATTTGTTCTTATTCTCTAATATACTTCTTTCATGAATTTTTTTTTTTTGTTAAAATCGATGATTATGTTCATTAGTTATTTCAATATGAATTGATAAAAATACTTATTTAAATCAATAAGCTATACACACACACATGATAAGTGCCCATTTATGCATATTTTAAGTGTCAAATTTCTTATATTTTAATTGTTTTTGGTGATAAATGGTATAATTTTAGCACTTACCTTGCTTAAAGTGTATTTCTCGAGCCCTACTACGTTATTTTGGTGAAAAGGAATGGAAACCAAGCAAGAATGGAGCAAAAATTGGTGAATTCGAGTGACCGAGTGAATTACACGACCAAAGACACGCCCGTGTAATAGGTCGTGTAACTATCCGATTAAAGAAAACTCGAAATTTTGCATTACACGAGCAAAGACACGACCATGTACTAGGCCGTGTAACCGTTCGATTCAAGAAAAATGACATTTCGTATTACACGGATAGAGACACGGCTATGTAATAGGTCATGTTTTACGGAACGCGTATTTTTTCTCATATTTAAGCTAAAACGCGACCTAGTGGTTGAGGAGCCGACTAGGGGAGACAAAAACATGGCATAGAAGCACGAGAAAAGAGAGGTTTTCTAGCAAGATAACGCCGTTGAAGTGGATTCCCATCAATTCTCGAGGAGATTACATTAAGAGCAAATGGGTGATAATGTTTTCTCGAATATTTATTGTTCTCTATTCAAGATTTATGTATTCTTTACTTTGACCATGAACTAAATTATATTAGTACCTAGATACGATGAAACCTAAGATTGACTATGTGATCTAATATCTTTATTCAATTCAATATTTATTTTCATTGTGATTCAGTTATGTTGCAATTATTATTTAATTGAATTAGCATATGCTAGCGTGTTGATTCATACCGATTTCATACCGTGAGACCGAAAAAATCCTAAGTGTGATTAGATCAACCATAACCGAAAAGAGTTGCATGCAATCCTAGAAATAGGATGACATAAATCTTTCGGATTAGAATCAAATCTAATAATGGAATTTACAAAACAAATTAATGTGATCCTAGGGGTGTTAACTAGAAAGAGATTTCGATTAATCAATTTGAGATTAGGTGTTAGCTAACTTGAAAAAGTAGTTAGCATAATTCAGGAATTCCTATGGTCTAATGAACATAAAGAATGATTGAATGAATGATATTGCGATTACATAGAAGGTCTTAGGGGATTCGCTATCCGGGTACCGCCTTTACCATTGATTGCTCGGTTAGCTATTTTCGTTATTCTTGTTGCATTTCTATGATCTCGCTTTAGTTATTATTTCTTTTAATTATTTGCTATCACTATACTTTATCGGTTAGATAATAAAAAGAGGGTGATTACTAGTACTCATAGTTTTTATGGGATCGACACTCGATACTCGTATCAATCGTACTATAAAACGATAAGTGCATTTGCCTAAAATCTATAGGTTTGAAGATAAGCTTATTAAGTTTTTGGCATCACTCGTCGAGGATTAAGATATTAGGAAAACTTTGTTTTTATTAATCTAGCCATTTTATTTTCTCGTTATATTTAATTAGTTTCATTTTTGTTTATCTTGTTTTCTTTGAATTACGCTCTTCTTTTTTGTACTCGCTTTTTTAAGAGCTCGGTTAGCGCATGACTCGTAACAACCAAACTAAATTAGTAGGGCCAAATCCTAAAATAGAAAGAACAGTTCTTCTTAACCTTAGAAATCAACTTAGACAAAGAGAAAAAGAGTTGGATAGGGAAAGAGAAGAAGACCGTCGGAGGGAAGAAGAACTATAGATAGTCATGGTCGAGGAAAAAAGAGCTATGTTTGATTATGCTAAACCAAACCCGATAGGAACAAAATCTAACATTCTCAAACCAAATTGTTGTAGCCAATAATTTTGAGATCAAGCCGAATATTATTCAAATAGTGTAACAATTTATGCGAGTTTGATGGGTTAAAGGATGAAGACCCGAATGCTCACTGGCCAACTTCTTGAAAATCCGTGACACATTCAAGATCAATGGGACTACGGATGATGCTATCGTATTGAGACTATTCCCATTCTCATCGAGGAATAGAGCTAAGCGATGGTTAAACTCTCTACCCAATGGGTCTATCACCACCCGGAACCAATTGGTAGAGAAGTTCCTAGCAAAATACTTTCCACCTACAAAGATCGCGAAGCTCCGGAATGATATCTCCTCATTTGTATAGATTGAGTCGGAGATACTTTATGGCACTCGGGAGCG